TCCTATCCTATCCTATCCTATCCTATCCTATCCTATCCTATCCTATCCCATTCCATTCCACTCCAATTCCAATTCCAATTCCACTCCACTCCTAATGGAATCTAGCAGAATCAGTAATATATTGTAAAATAGAAGTTTCTTCATTGAAATACTTTTCTGTGATACTCCTTGAAAATAATTGTGAGGTTTTTTTTGAAAGTCATAATGTTTTCTTCCCCATTGACTTGGCCATTATCAGAATTCTCCATCCCATTGCCTGTCTCCGCTTTACCTCATATGGTCAAGGCCAAATATATTTTTCAACATCTCCATGCTTGTCTGCTCAGAGATTTCTTTTCCACTAACTTCACTTCAGAAACCCTTTTATCAAAGCTGATCTGAAAGAAGCTGCTGCTGAAGGGGTCTCAATAGTTCTTTGATTTATTCATTTGATTTATTTGTAATACCCTAAGGGATAGGAAGACAAGACTTATCATCTGTTAGATCTTTGTAGATAATTTTTCGGGTTTTCCTTTTTAAGACATTGTGACTTTTCTTCTGTTTAGGCAATTGGGAATGTCTTGAACTACCTGACAGATGCAAAGCGGAAACATTCTCACATCTTATGGATTAATCTCCGTGAAGATATAGTTCTAGAAGAGAATGAACAAACCTATACCCTACGGGAAGTTGGCAATCTGGAACAGCAGATAACAGTACCTGTAGCATCATCAGAACAACTAGAGGTGAGACCTTGGATACTTGAACTTTCTGTTGATTCCTCTGCCTATTTGTGCTACTAGTAAATTTCTTACTATCCACAGAGGTCTTGATAGCATATCCAGTGAGAATGAATTCAGTGTTGTGCTGTGGAGATGGTGCAGGGATGGAGAATGAGCTTTAGTAGGTAGGAGTGAGTCATCTTTCTTTGTGTTCTCCTCCTGAGTGAAAAAAAATGCACTTCCTTGCACTTACTCTTCTGCAAGCAAAAGGTGGAAGAAAAAAAATCCAAAATTACTGATTTTTCCTCTTCCACATTTTATAGTCTTAATACATCAATTGGCTGAGTTCCTTATTTAAAGCAGATAAATGTGCTTGTGATATTGACATAACCATTTTTCTCATGTCCACATGAGTGTATCTGTCACCATCAACAATGTTTTAAACCTAAAATGAACTGGAAAATGTTTTTCTATTTTTAGAATGGTTGCAGGATATGTTATTCTTATAGAATTTACTTATTTATGGCTAGTCCTCAATTTACAACCACAATTGGAACCAGAATTTGCAGGAAAATCAGGGTTAGTCAAACGTTCCTTGACATGGGACGCAGAAGATAATTTTCTATTCTCCAATGGAAAAAAAGTCTTGTAAAATACAATGTTTTTGGCAATAAGCGATTAAAGACAGGCATTGATTCCTGTAGACATCATAGGCAAAGTAATTTCTTCATGTCATGTAATTCTTCTTGGCCATAGCTGGGAGTGTGCCCTTTTGTGCATTTACATATGACAACAACAGTCCAATTCAATTATTTTCACAAGGACCTTCGTATAAAATATTTTTCCAAATTCCATAAACCCTGGTAAAGGTGTGGAAGGTGCATATCATCACATGTTCAGGGAAAGAAAAGACCAAAATAGGTATTGTTAATACTTCCTTCTACTAAAGAGACATCAAGATGCGATGTAACAGACTTTGTTCCTAGTCTTTGTCTCGCTTATTTGCAAGGCCTGGTTGTTTTGTACTCACTGCTCATTGCAGTTTGAATGTTGAAATGATCAATGCATCATGAGATGAGGGCTTTTGTTTTCAAGATATTTTTCTGTAGAGTCTGATTTTGATTTGAGGCTTAGAAGAAGCGACTAAAGCCGTGGTTCTCAACCTTTCCTTCACCACCAACTGCTTTCAATATCTTTTGTGGTCACAGATCATGGCCACGAACCCCCAAGAATTAATTCAAGATTTCAATCATAACATTTCTTCAAGCTTTCATGGGATTCCCCCATGATGACACTATGCCCCCCCCCCCGGTTGAGAACCACCGAACTAAAACACTGACTTAGCTGGATTATAAACCTTTGGCAATACTTAGTGCAACACTTTAACCATTGCATCACGCTAGCATAGCAGAGACTGATAAAGAAAAAACAAAGATTTTGATTTGTGTACATTTGAGGTATAATATGAGCTTTTGTTAGAAACACTAACTTTGTAGATTTACAGAGATTCTATATTGGACAGGAATGAGGCTTTTTTGCCTTGTAAAATTATGCAGCGTTTTTTCCTCAATTGAATTCTCCCCCCCCACATTAATGTATGCGTTGTAAAGATAAATTGCATTACATAAAATACCCAATCCGCCAGTTTCTTGTGGGAATACTTGGTTTTCTGTTTCTGTGTATCAGTGTACTCTCTGACCTGGTTCCCTCGAGATGGGTTTCCATAATTCCTTTCCTGATGGAAAGATGGGCATTGTATTCCAAGCTACCTGCAGGGGGCATCGGGTGAGAGAAGATTAAACTTCCTGAAGATAGAACTGAAAGAGATGAATAACTCCCTTGTTTCTTTGACACCGCTCCAGAAACTGGAATCTGTCTTGAAGAATGATCTGTTGAAATCCCAGAAACGGATTGAGGTTTATTTGGAACAGGAGAAGCAGATGAAAATGTTGAAATCCTGCATAACCATGCAGGAGATATTTAACCAGCACAAAAGCAACTGCCAAGGGCTGGCCTACAAACGGATCCCAGTTCCGGATTTCTGTGGACTGAGGGAGAAGGTAAGCAAGCACCTTAGAAATATCACGTCTGCTGCTTGGGGTAGGTGAAAAGCTGCCCTTGGCAAGTTTCCCATTCTATATTTTAGCAGTTCTTGGCGTTGTTTGGGAGTATCTGTGTGTGTGTGAGAAGAGGGAGAGACAAAGTTAGGCATAAATCTATATATATATAAAAGCAAAATACCACTCATGCATCATCACAAAATCTCCAGAACCGTAAAGCCTACAAACTTGAAATTTGGCACGTATTGTTCCTCTTGGCTTCTAGGTGCTCACTCAGAAAGGATTTTTTGAAACAACCATCAGAGCATTAATATTTCATATATTATTCTTAACACGCTCTGATGCTAAGGAGTTCTACTCCCCCTCCCCACCTGAAAAGAAATCTGTTCCAAATGCAAAACACAAGCAGAGGAGAGGAGTTTCAATTTCACAGCAGCAAGCAGCTTTAGTACAGAACTGTTGAGCCCAGGCTCCTTGCTGTCTCCTTGCTCACACAGCAAATACTGTTTCAGTTTCCAAACAGCCCTCAACTCTCACACACTGACAGGACGCTAGCCAGATGAATACTGATGGATGCTGGTAGGCAGGAGCACAATTTTTTCCCTTATTTTCCTCCCCAAAAATTAAGTCCGACCACATTGTTTCGTAGTGAAGCATCAAGCTAGTGCTATACAAATAGAATCAGTTATGACTGCTGCTGTTAGCAGTATAATTACTTTACAGTCTTCTGTTGTTGCTTAGTGCTTACTTAGTTACCCCAAAAAGATGGGTCCAGTGTGTTTTATTTGAAAATTGCTAGTGTGTCCATTTTTATTTAACACTTGAGTACATTTATCTCACTTCAGTAACTTCAGTCCAAATTTTGATTCTGAAACTTCAGCCAGTGCCGCTTCTTGTTTAAGTAACCCATCTTAAATAGGTAGGAAGTTTTAAGAAGGTGGCCTAATTTGAAGGAAATTGAATGCCCTGCAGTTCAATAATCAATAGTCAAGAGAAGCTTAGTATATGTGCAACCCATCATTTATTATAATGGTCATTGACAATTGAGATAATTTTATGTCCTATAAAAATAAATTGAAGGGGCTGCTTTGAGATGATTAACAAATGATTGTTAATTGAAATTATATATCCACCAATATCTGTGTGATCTTACACAAACAGATACGAATGATAATATTTCAGAATAGGAAATATTATTTGAAATATAATATGAAATATTGTAGTATATAGTATTATATGTACATATACCTATCTACCTATCTACACACACACACACACACACAAACACACACACACACACACATACACAGTTTCCCCCAAAATACAACTTACTCAGAAAGTAAATCCTAGCTTGATTTTTTTATACGTGAGCCCAATATAAGCCCTACCCCCTCCAAATAAGCCCTAATTAACACCCCACCCACTCCAGGGTTATAAAAATAAAAATTAAAAGCTAGGATGGGGGTGGTGGAGCTGCCCTGCTACCTACCTTTAAATAGTTGCAGCCAGGCCTCGCAAACCTCGGTCCATTTCTTCTGTAGCCAGCAAGACTTTTCTGAAGGCCTCTGTGGCCAATAACAGAGCTCCAAATCAATCCAGAGCTCTGTAGAGGCCTTTCCTAAAGACCTTTGTAGCTGATAAAAGAGCTCCTGAAGGCCTCTGACAGTGAAAAGGAGGCCGGGGGTGACGTGTGTAAGTGAAGTGAGTCAGTGGATGACATTTTCCCCCCTCCAAAAATAAGACCTTGTCCCCTTTTTTGGGTGGCAAAAAAATATAAGACAGGGTCTTATTTTCGGGGAA